TATCTGCAGACATCTAACATTGCTGACTTTACCATTGTCTCCTATTGTGTATGGCTTTTTACATTTAGCAATCCACAAAGAGACTATAAAATATGCCCAAAGTGTGATGGTGCCAATATATGTCAAAGTAAACATATATTGAGTTTTCATTTCTGACTTCAAACATTGGAAATACACACTAGGTTTATCCTTGAGGTAAGCATTTCTTTGCTTTGTAAGGTTTCATACCAGAATTCTCCACATACATCACATAATGGAATAGGTGCATTATCATTTCCACTCTTTGAGACTATACTGAATGTAGCTGTTATCATACTTCCTGTTAACAGTGTTCTTTTGTTACTTTTTGGACAGAATACCTTTTTCAAATTTTTTCAGTGTTTCTGAAGAGGTGAAACCAAATCTTTCGAGTCCTTGCTTGCTCATTTTTATTCTTAGGGTTATAACCCCGAAATAAGGCAAACTAATAATTTCACAATATTAGTATATCACACCTGTCCAAAAATAATTGTACAGATCAGTTATTATCAAATCATTTGCAAACAAAGATAGGTAAATATAGAGAAGAACCCTCAATTAAAAAATATAGGAATAGTTGTATTTATAATTTGATATAAAAATAAAACAAAACAAAAGTTTGAACAACAACTGTGGCTCTCATAGATAGTGAGAACTTAAAAAGTATTTAAAATAAACCCAATGATAAACATTATGAAAATAGAAATGAAGCTAGCACTTGAACATCAACTGGTGCATTTTAACCCCTCTTGGCTAAATAATTGGAAAGTATAATCTGAGTAAAAAATTAACTTGCACTGCAATTTTAATAAGAGGAGTCAACTCACAAATTGTAAATGAAGTTATAATGCAACTGATGTGTTAACTTGAAACGAATTTTGATCATAAGCTTATAAAGCTGATACATGCCACCTGATTGGTTATTATCATCAAGTTTTCTGGTAATGTCCACAACTGACTGATAGAGTGGACAGCGTGATGTTTTCCAGTTTTGTGCACGTGAATCATAGAATTTAAAGTATCATTAGTTCAAACATCTTTTATATATTTTTTTTCTTAAAATGTTTGAATTTTTTATAGTAAAGGCTGATTTCTTTAGAATTTTCTTTGATTTTTCATTTCCTTAGATACCACCTTTAAAATATCAAGTTTCTTTAAAATGAGGAAATTTCTTAGAAAATGGAAACTCTGCACTGCATATTTTACAAAACAGTTTGAATATTTGGTCTTTTTGTACAATTTAAAAAAATGGTGTAATCTATTACTAAAGTAGAAAAAAATATGACATTGCACAGAACAAAAAACAAACAAAATATGTACATATAGAAACAGATAGGTATAACTGAAGACGAAGAAAATAAAATAAAATCTTTAAAAATACATACTTAAAACAAAGGAAAATATTTAGTTCCATTTTTACAGCTGATGAAGGCCACAGGATGGACTGAAAAAGGCACGATCAAATTGGTATGTGTAGGGGAGAAGCTTAGTACATTAAAGTTTCACTGTAATTGATATGTGAACAATATCTGCCATATTCACAAAGCTAGGCCTTGTGAGAGGCAACCTAAGAATTACATAGGAAAAACAAAAAAAATATAAAATCTTACTTGGAGAAGCTATGATGTGTGGCAGCTCTGTGCTAATGGTGGCTATGACATCATCAAAACATCACACCTTTTCTTGCAGAACCTTGAACCCGTAGGCCACCTGCCTTTCTCAGGAATGCAGTTGTCTGAAACATCTCCAATCTCCCCTACTGGCAACTGAGTAGCATATATGTATGTGTATAAACAATTAATATCTTAATTTTAAATATAATGTATACCTAATTTTTGGTAGCTTAAAAATATTTAATAGCCACAAAAGACACAGCAAGGTAATGTCGTTTTTTAGCAATTCTTAATAATTATTTTCAAAACTTCATTTCTCACACTTGTTGACAAACACTGGTGTAGATTATGATTCAGTTTGAATATTTGGTCTTTTTGTACTATTTAAAAAAATGGTGTAATCTAGTACTAAAATAGAAAAAAAAAGACAGAATTTTCTTATCATTTACTATAATTTCATATCCATAGTTTTGAGTGTTTGGGCCATTATTTAGCAGAAGTACATCTTCATAAGGTGGTTCATGTGATATCAAAATATCAACCAATACAAGTTGAAGAAGGGTTGAAATAAGAGGAACAAAGTCAAGAAAAATATGCGAGCATAATGATGCAAAATAATATGACAATTTATTATGAAATACTAGTGTATAATTTATACATTTCATCAATATTAAGTAGAATCACATGAAGGCATGAAGTAAATTTCCATATTTCAGTTAACTCCCAATATGGTCTCGATCAATTTGATTGACCACGTGACCTCTTTTGTACTCGTTCAAAGTCTTTATAGATTTGATACTAATAACTTTTAATACTGTGTATATATCTTCATGAAATTTGGCAATCATTCAGTAAGTATTACAAGTCTTTCACATAAAAAATAATTTTTTTGTCAATTATTTCAAATAAATTAAAAAAAGATTTGTCTGTGAATATATCAAGTATTTGTTTTGAATAGTCCATATGCAAAGTGATATAAAATGTTAAGATTAAAAATACTTTTCTTCATCTCAAAAATCTCAAATTTCATTTGTGTAATTTAAAACTTCCTAAATATATTTCAATTGTTTGTTTTCTGTAAAACTTTATATTTTATCTGTTATTTTCTCTATACAAGGTTGGTCAACTTGACCCTTGTAACCACCAAAAAAAATATTGAAATAAATCTAAATTACCCTCTTTTTCTTTCTAGAATGACTTCAAATTGTAACATGAAACTACATTTGTTTATCTTAAGTAGTGTTAAACTCGTAACAATATACATCTATTTACAATAAAATTTTATTGTTTTATTGCCTTACTGATTGCCCTTTGAACTGTGCCTAACTACTGTTTGCACCATTATCAGTTGTAAGTCATTTGGGAAATATGCAGCTCACATTACACTATTGAATTACATTACACACGAGCTACTCTGAGCTGCTCGTGTGCATGCCTCGTGAAATATTTTCATTATATTATGATTATTATTTATTTTACCTAATCTAACTGTAACTAACTTAAAGATTCCTATTTTTACATTTTAGGTACTTTTATAAAAATAAATAAAGAATAAATATGAAAAACAAGAAATAAAGTACTTATCTGTGTCTTCTTTTTTTGCCGTTGACTGTTGATAACACAACTTTTTTATACTAATAGTAATAATGCACAAAGTAATTTTTATTTACTTATATAATGCAACAAAAGAACAGAATAATAACATGCAAAAAGCAGACAATTTATCACAATTTTTCTTGCTTTCTAACTATGCGACAAGAGCTGTTACAAATTCATCTAAGCTAGTCGCTATCTTTCCAGTAGGAGCGAAACTTATACTAAAAGAGAAATTGACAATTCTCTGTTCAGAACACAATGTAATATAATACGTCATTTGATAGATGAAAACCTTGGTTTTTGATTAGTTATATATATAATATGGAATTAAACATAAGAGAGAACTGTTAACAAATCCTGAAAGAGAGGATGTAATGGGTGGGTGTGGCAATAGGGGGTCTGATTTTCTATTTGATGGCTCTGTAATGAAACAAAATTGAGTGCTACAAAACTTATGGTTTGTCTGAGCAATGACAGTTTTGTAGTGACTAATTTATGTTGAATTTCGTACGTATTGAAGGGATGGTGAATAATATAGAGAAGAAAGTCATTTCTCTCACTAGGGATAATTCAGGATTTTTTAAAATATGGATTATTAGCACATTTTTATGCTATACTAATTGGTATAACATAAACAAAAACTAGTTTAATAAACTGTCGAATGTAAGCCACTAAAAGCTTGTGGCATGCTCAGTAAATGATGCCCAGGCAGATTGTGTTAAATGAATAACAGTACCACAAGAACAGACCAAATTTTCAAATTCTAGGCTTTATAAACAGCCTGGAATGAAAATAAAAAACTTTGAATCTAGTAACTTGTTCATTCAGTAATAGTTAATGATAAAAGTATACCAGTTTTGGGTAATAATAATTGAGCTTAAAATTATACTCATTAAGTGAGTACTGACAAGCTGGGGTAATAATTACAAATTTCCCTGTTTAATCTCTTCTTCTTTTTTTATTATACTTTGTTTTACTTATTATTATTATTCACATTATGATGGAAAGCTTGTATCCATGGGTTTTCCTAATTTACTTATGGTTCCAGCTACCATTCTTGGTGAATAACTGTAATTGCAGTTTTTCATTGAATTTAAACTGATTTGCTTTGATCAAAGTTTATTTGATTGCATTAAAAAATAAGATTAGTTTAATTTCATGTGCTTATTTTTTTTTCCATTATGTTTGATTAAGTAGTTAAGCTCATTGTGTAGTTTAGTGCTTAAATAATAAACGAACACAAAGCAGCACCACATTGATTTTTCCACATTTCAATTTGAATTATTATTTAAGTAAAAAAAAATACCTAATTAGAGTTGTTCAAATGCATAAGAAAGATGTAACTTATTATAATTTTATATGTTTTGTTTTGGTGTTTTTGTTCGTTTAATTGTTTGTGTAAACCATGCTGAAATCCTAATTGTCTATGGTAAGTTTAGTGAATTGTATGGTTAAGTATTGCTGTAATTTATATGAACATAAGGAACAAATGTTTCTTAACAATATATTAATCCAGATTAATGTTTCTTTTTTTAACATTAAGTTTTCACATTATTTTTTATAACTGTTAGGTTGATTTTAAAGCACACACATATTCTATAATGTGATGATTCCATATTATTTCAGCAGAGTTAACCTGTTTTAAAGTATAATGTATCTTGACATACAAGCCTATTTTTTATCTTATTTTACTGCATTCTATACCATCCAGCATGATAAGCACATAAACATTCAAAGTTAATATGTATGTAAACATTTGTTTTTGTTTCTTAGCCAGGTGACTTCACCCTGCATGTTGATGATAAACTTGCTAAACATCCTCCAATCTGGAGAATAGAAGGAAAAACTTTGCTGCAGAGGTTTGAACCCTACAACAGTGATGGCAAGGTGTTATATAAAAACTCAAGCTCTGTACGTATTATTATTATCTATTTTCCAAATGAATACTTTTTATTAATTTCTTATGAGAATGCCAGCGTGGTTAGTGTAATTTTAAGGTATCACTTGTATGGTGTTCTAGGGATTAAAAAAGTACATATTAAGGTGTTGGTTAACTGTGATGTGTTCATGCAATATTCTTATAATTTTAATATTAACACTAAGCAGGCCCTCTGGTGGTTCAATGGTAAGTTTGAGGGCTTCTAACTTTAAAAAATGGATTTTGATACCCAATGTGGGGAGAGTAGAGATGGTTCATTGTGTAGTTTAGTGCTTAACAATAAACAAACACGAAGCAGTACGACATTGATTTTTTCACACTTCAGTTTTAATTACTGTTTAAGTTAAAAAAATAACCTAAGTAAAAAAGTAAATGCATCTTTCTAAAGAGCACAAATTAATTTCTGTTATATATTTGGATTTTGTATCATTTTATTTGGTACATTATTTAATCAAATAGATATTTCTGTACTTAGGTTACCTTTAGTTATTTTTTATTATGCTCAGAAATATGTACTATGCTTTTAACTGGCTTGAGAAGGTGTTATGGGATGGTATCTATTAGAAATGTAAAGCATTTATAAAGAACTAGATTTAATTTATTATCAACGCAAAACTTGAAGATTAAAGACTTGGTTATCATTCTAATGTAAGAAAAATTCTACTCTTCAGAAATATATAAACAAAAGAATTAGAGAACTGACAGTACTAAGTTGCTTGTACAGCTTGAAATGACTTGAGTAGGTTGCCATAGTTGTTATGTAAAGTCAGGGCTTGATTTTAAGGAAACTTTCAGATTGTCCAAAGAACAATTACAAGAATTACAACTAAAAACTTCCTCGAATGACCAACTTAAACCCCGTTTTCTCTGACAGATGACTAGCACCCCCGAACAGACTCTTACTCAAAACAGCATCGCAGTCTACTATACACTTATCCATGCCCACACGTAATGTTGGCTCTGATTCTTTATCAAAATTATTGGTAAATTCCCTAACTATGACTTTGAAAATTTGAACCCCAAAACAATATCTTCTAGTCCATTTGTTTGTTTCAAAAAGATTGTACTTTGTACAGAGAAATGTTGGTACCATCCATCAAAAGGGGCTGAAAACAGGAAAAGTTTGCTTTTGGGATTGGCTAATAATGCTGTTTTAGTCACTAAACTGTCTATTATGGACAAGCTGCACCTCTGTGCTGCTTTATGCACATAAATTTTGTACGGAGTTCAACAGAGCATGAATAGTTATGTGTGTGGTAATACAGGACAGTGTATACAGGTCAGTTACATTACCACACATTGTATTGCACAATGTTTGTATGTATATATAAGGGTGGGAAGGAATTTGCAAGGAAAACAAATGCTGTTAACACGAATATTTAGGTAGATTAATTTCTAGTATAGATGCTTACATCAAAAAAACTAACATGGCTGTCTCAACTTCTTACCAATGAACAATTGATAGGACTAAAATGATCAAATTTAGAAAATCAAACTCAGAATTTTATCATTAATTGTCATAGTTGAAACACTAACCCCACTTTTGATTATGCACCTATAGGCCTAAGGCTAACATTAGATTGGCATGACCAATCGAGTACAGGAAATACAGAAGGCCTAGCTACCATGAGTAAAATGGGAAAACCCATGAATTACCTCTCTCAGTATGGGCTAGAGTAGATATTTCAGTGCACATTTCAGTATAAAGGTTTTTTTTTATTGAGGTACAACTGTTCCCCATAAAACAGGTACTAATAAAAAAATAATTTCATGTAATTCAAATATGTATTTACTGAATTTTATATTTATTTCTGTATCTTTAAGTTTATACCAATTTTATGGAAGCAGGAGTAATAAAGGGATGAAAGGAGCTTATATTGTAGAATACAGAATAAAATCCTCACTGGAGACACAGAGCAGTCAAGCTTGTTGGGTAACTTTAAGAAAAAACTAACATGGTGTAAGATTTTCAACAATTCAGTGTACTGTTTAGTGAATGAAGCCAAAAGTTACTGTGTTTTATCATATCTTTCAAACCTTTTTGAGTTTGGAGTCAGTGAATCTGACTGCTCCACTCTGAAAGAATTATGTAATTATTTCTTAAATTATTTTGCAGATGTTATTCATGTGAAATACTAGATCTTTTATGAAAACTGAGTAAGACTGATTTATGAGTTAGTCCAAACAAATGTTAACTGATGCAGAAAACACAACATTAATCATTGTCATCATGCAAAAACCCACTTTTTACTTTGAGTTTCTCATTCAAAATGGAATAAGAAAGCATCAAAATGTACCATTTAATGTTTTAGTATGCTGAACCATGTTTACTCCTTTGTAACATTAGTTCTATCATCTACAGTACATTTGACAGTCTGCAGAATTGATTCAATAATACCGTTAGATTGAATTCATATGATGAAGTATGTATCTTCAAAAAGCATACTACCCAGCACAACTCTGGTAACATCTAATTGTTTAAGTTGGCTTCTTCATCATTGGGAATTTTTGTAGATGTTCTGAATCATGCTCTCCACTGCTCTGCTACTTAAAAGTGCCAGCCTGCACTGAAGTGTTAAGTAATCGATAAGTTTTGCCTGTTTGGTAAAGTAGTTTGTAATGACCAAAATGTATCAGATACAATTATCTGTCTCTGAGAGATAGACATCTATAACCAGGACTGTACTCTGCAGTTGTAATTCTATGAAAAGAGATTTTCCTGGTATGGCTGGCATTTTCTCTTGGCAGCACACTCACAAATATTACAATGCTTACATGATCTTTCATTATGAATGGCAAGAAAAATACTTTTTATATGTTGGCAGTAGCAATCTTCAGCCCTTATGTCATAAAAATTTGAATTATTTTCTGTAACCACAAAAGCATCCATGAGAGTAATTATACCATAATTTTTGATAATGTATGCATATCTTTACAAAATTTTGCAGATTATTACTAAACATTACAAGGCTTTCATACACAAAGTATCAGATGTTTAAATTAAGTATTAAGATTTTTTTTATTAAAGATTTGCTCAGGAATTTTTTCTTTCAGAATGTTTACTATCCAAGGTGCAAAGTAACTTTGATTTTAAGATTAAAAATACTTTTCTTTATCTGAAACTTGTCCTGTTTCATTTGCATAATCTCTCTATCCTTCTAGGTATACATCAGACGTTTTTTGAATAAAACTTTATATTTAATCTGTTATTTTATCAGTGCTAGCTCTGTATGATGTTGATCGATTTGACTGACCTCATAACCATCATAAAAATTAGGAAAAAGATCAATATTACTTTTTTTTGTTTAGAATAACTGCATATTGTAACAGGAAACCACAAATGTTTATTCTAAATAGCTTAAATCTTGTAGCAGTATACATCTATTTATATTTATTAATTTTTGTTTTATTGACCTTTGAACTGACTAAGAATACCCCAACAAAGGTTTAAAATTATACATTGCCTGTGCAGTTCATGTTACCATATCAAATAGCGTAACACACAAGCTGCTCACATGTATACCTCATGAATTTTTTATTATCTTTCTTTCATTATCTTACCTAATAAGTTTCTATTTTTTACATTTTAGTTACTATTATAATAATAAATAGTGAAAACAAATGAAAAATAAAAAACCTCATAATTAAATATCAAACATTTTTATTTTTGCTTTATATTTTATCTGTTATTTTCTTTACTGTAACATTATACTTGATTCTCCAGGTTGTAGGTAAACAATCAAAGTATAACAAAAATAAATGCTGCAAATGCAAAATAAAATGTATAGTATTGTTAGTAGTGATCACAAAATTTGAAAGTACTTATGATCAGAGTTTACACTTCTCACCTTTTCACACATTTTTTGTAAAACTTGATAACAAGGAACCCACTTTTAAGAAAATTAAAAATGTTTTGAGACGGCTTGACTTGGTAATGAAAAAAACTTTATTAAAAAGATGAAAAATCCTGTCGAAACGTCTTACAGTTATAATAAAATATTTTCACTACCCAATCAAGCCATCTCAAAACTTTTATTATTTTCTACGGTTATTTTATTTGCCAACAGATATCTTAGCAACTAGAAAAAACAAAATGAATAGTTGTCTGTCCTTTTCAGTTCCAAAGTAAATGTCCTAAGAGTTTCTTCTTATCTTTTTACACATATTTCCTCTGGTTATTCTACTGTTAGCAGCTGGAGTATAAACCTGTCAGATATAAAGCAATGAATCACCATTCCTGTTTAGGTGTTACCATACTTTGACACTGTCAATATCAAATACAATTTTATGACACAATTCCTAGAACTTTCCTTGCTTTGAAAACACAGTGGGGTAGAATTTATCAACTTGTTGACAGTATAATGGTTGCAACAAGAATTGTCTAAAGTGCATTATAAAATGCTTATGCTATGGTTTTGTTGAAAGTTTTGGCCATTCCAATAAACTTGGTAGGTATTTGAATGTTGGTTGATAAGCAGTTGTTTCCTACAGAGTTTATTCAAATTCTGGCTTTGGAAACACAGTGGGGTAAGATTTATTGGCTTGTTTACATAATGCAGTAGTTGCAACAAGAATTTTCTAAAAGTACTATATTAAAATGAGAGAAAACATTTATGATATGATCCTGTACAAAGTTGTATCAAGTCCAATAAACTTAGGTAGGTGTGAAAGTGCTTATGAACACCCTGTTTCCAGTAAATGCAGAGTTTCCAATATTTTGGAAGGTACAATGAGTAGGTTACCATACATTACATATGTATATTATTACTATTTACAAATAAATATTTAAATTTCAGTTATTTTTCTTAAAACATAGAACAGTAAATAAAAAGCATTTGGAAAAACAATGTTCTCCACTACTTACAATGTTTTGAAGTTATTTTTTGCACTTGTGAGTCATACTTGCTAACCCTTATCTTAAGCATTTTTTGTAGACTTTATATATGCATTTTGGAATACTAAAAAATTATAAATGATTATACTGATACCACAAAAATCTATTTTATTTTACCAGGCTTCCTAACTATGCTGTATTTTGGTCTAAAAAAAATCTAATTTCTGTTTGGAAAATAGCATTGATCATAATACAAACTTTCTAACATTATAAGAGCTTTTCTCTCATAAATAACTTTGAAAGATTAACAGAATTATGTTGAGGAAATGTAGAGCTTTCGATTGGTTATAAACATAAAGGTATATAAAAAAGCAGTCATGGATGAACAAATCTTCTCAAATAGTAAAGTTTTGGGCAGAGCCAATATGATGGATTCCATAAATATTGTGATAACCCAGCAAATAGAAAAGGTATGAGGTTCTTATTTTACATTCTAGCTTGCCAATATTGGAAATTTGAGTTATAATTCATATGAAACTATAGATATTGTGTTGTGGGTGGCATCATAAAATGTAATCTGACCAAACCCTGAAAATGACACCAAAATTGATATTAAGCTATTTTTTTCATTTTTACTTTCAATTACAAAATTAACTAATGTATAGTACTAGAATTTGAATTAAAGTCTACAATTTGATAACAAGTTTATTGACATAAATTCATAAAATAGTATTTCAATAAAATTTTGAGTGTAAGTCTACAAAAGTGATGGCATGCCCTCTGACCCCTAGCTACCCATATTGATAGGGTTAACTGAGGTTTTCTGACCGTAGCATACTTCTCTTTTCTTGTTAAAGTAGCCATAATCCAAGAATGTATAGTAAAAAAGCTGAACTGTCTCGTTTGTCAGTCCACTTTACAGCTGCCATAGATCCACATTTAAAAAATTGCGTTTCCACTTTTATATTGAGAACAAAAAACATAAGAGATTTACTACATATATTCTCCATTGTGTATCACAGGTTTCAGAAACAGTACATGTTTTAATAGACTGCAAAAATTCAGAAAGAACTCTGCTGGATTAAGATCACCAACTGTTTATTAACCCTTTTGCAGTGGGATCGTGTAAAATACACTAACCTGTCTGGGAAAGGATACATGAGTAACAATACATATGGTAACTCTGAGCTCTCTAAATGTATCTTCACTAAAAACTGGTAAAAAAATTTTAAAGGTTACAAGTATCTTGTACACAAAGAATGTATTGTAGTTATTGGTGTGGTGATTTTCATTTTAAGGATAGAAATACTTTTCTTCATCTTAAAGTTTTTGAGTTTTATTTGCGTAACCCCTAGAATCTCCTAAATGAATATCAAAAGCTTTTTAAGGTAGTTGTTTTTATTTTAGTTTTCAATTTCTCTACCATATCAGTGACTACAGATTTATTATTATCAACATACAGTGCAATGAAATGTTTCAAATTAAGAAGTAGAAAAATCTACATACCTTTTAATTTTTCATAGAATATCTTTAAAGATCTTCTTTTAGTTATATTTGTAATTTCACCTCTTTTACTTTTCACATAAAGCTAATTTTTAATTTTATTTTTCTCATATTTATTGTTTTTCTCAAAACAAGTCAACAGTGCCCTTGTGGAATATTACAGTGTCTGGCAGAAATACGCAATCCAACAGCAAAATTTTCATGCATTTGTGTAATATTGCAAACCTTGAGAACCAAGGCAAAGTTTGAGATAGATTTATAAAATGTTTAAACCTTTCAGTTATGCATTTCAAAACATAAATAATACATAATTAACTAAAATATAATAGTAAGACCTAAATATAATTTAACTGTCTCTCTAAATACAACATACTTAGGTAAAAAACAACTGTAAGTGCTATCATGGACAAAGCAGCCAACAATACTACTGACAGTTACATTTATCAGATGACGACAACTGAGTGCAAATTTCAAAATAACTATTTTTGGATTATAGTGTAAAATGAACTTTTTCTAATGGTTATAAACGTGTCAAATAACTACATGTGGGTTGTAAATCTCAAGGCTAAATGTAGAAGGTGGGCTTGGCACCTGTCAGGAGTTGGTAAAATTTATCTCTTGTTTCAACTGAACTCAGCCAAAGAACTTTGGAACATACATGTAAATACTGCAGTAAATGTAGTTTTTGTCTATACCTACATCTAGATACACTATAGTTCTTTGTTTCAAGTTAGAGATCGTAAAATTTCAGATTTATGAACACTCATGCATCATGTGAGAACAAAACTGAAGTTTAAGTATTTTTTGAAGGTTTCTTTTGAAATAAAGGAATTAAAGCGTAGACAACATAAAACTTTGAATTATAACATACATTCTAATGTTCATTTTGTCCACACTTTGATAATAAAGTTGTTTAATTAAAATTTTAAAGTAACTCTTGTGCTTCTTCACCTTCTGTGTGCCATGTCTCTTGCTGTTCTTTGTCTGGGTGTTTCTGGCCCAGGTGCTTTTAGTGTTTTCTTTTTTGACCATAGTATTTCATCTTCTGACTGAGATTAATTAAGACCCGTAGTTATAGTTAGATCGAAGTAATCTAATATGTACTCAACAGTAGCATCAATACGTCTTACATTTTTCCTTTTCTTTGGTGGTTCAGTATGATGTACGACTATCTTGTTTACATGTGCTTCCATATGCAAACTAGAATAGAAAATGGATGCCGTGCAGTACAACAAAATATCTGAGCTATAAAACCAAAGTTAAACTGTTAGTTTTCATTCACTGCTGTAAATTCTCAGTCTTTTAATACAGTGAATAAATTACTTGCAACACTGTAGTTAAATAACTGTTGTATTTCAATGTGATCAAAACCAACAAAAGTTGCCTTCAGCTGCAAAGTGCACACTCACACCAGCTGTATACTGAAACTATTAATCAAACATTATATATATATTAACATATGCATACATGCACACACACACACCTGAAGAAGACAAACCAGTGTTCTGTTGAAATATAGTTTGGTAATGAGCAGTTTTATGTACTAGCTCTGAAGAAGCTGCAAAAGCAACACATAAATTGAAAAAAGTTTTCTTTTGGAGGGAGTTTTTAGGAGAAACTATGGGAACTGGGGATTGCTTCTAGTACACATAGGGTAGAAAACCATGAGAAACAAACAGATCCTTTTTTATTCCTATTTAGTTGGTTTTATAAACACTTTTAAAAACAAAAACTAAATGGGAAATTCTTACGTATTAACACCTCATAGCATATCACAGTTATTTTTTGATGTAAAGACCTACAAGTACCTGTTTGCCATTCATTTTAAAACTGAAAATGTTTTTCAAAATTCACAGCAAACAAGTTTTGGAATCAGGCATGTCTTTTAGTAGTTGTAGAAATTTTTTTATAACTGATAAAAAAAAAAAAGGACACTTTTGTGGCATAAGAAGAGAGGCTGGTGCTTGAGCCCACTCAGGAAACTGACTTGCTTCTCCATTTTCTCTTCATTTTTCTAGATATTTTATTGATCATCATGTGCTGTGTATTTGAAAAAAATATTGATTTATTTAAAAAATGAATATTTTGTACAAAATCAAGATTATAAACTGGTTAAAAAGGTCCAAGATAAGAATAAACTAGCTTAAGAACTTTCAGGCTGCTTTCCTATAGAGTCGAACAACCTTTTTTCATATTGCTACTATGCTGACAATATTAATGGTATTATTTGTTACTAGTATGTCTTATGGAGTTTGTTTTGTCAAAAGCAGTTTTCATTGAGTCACCAGCTAGACAACATTTAATTCATAAGTACAATGTAATAGGCCTGTATATATATATTGTTAATACTCCAAATGTGATAACTGTATTGCTAAACCTATTTCTTTTTCAAGTTACTTAATTATATTACATAAAATATTAAAAGAAACATCCAGAGGTTAAGGTATATAAAGATGCATGGAAATACTTTGCACGAAATAACAGAAAAGAATCAGAATCTACCTAACCATCCCAAATTTATATTCATTGTAATTAGAAACACAAGTAGTATTTTCTTTGACCTAACTTAACATCAATACATTTTTTTTCAACCTGAATATGATACTTGAAGTTATTACATTTTCAACTGGGTATGTCGGTGGTACATATATTTTAAATGTTATTCCTTTAAAGTCTAGGCTTTAAGCCTATTGAAGACACATTCTTACACTGATATTATACTAGCATAAATTCACAATTTGTTTTATGAATATAATCATGTATCTTCTGTTTGTTAAGAAGGTTCTTTTACTTTTAGTACACTTCATGGAACTTAATTGATCCGAGTCAGTATATTGGAGCAACAGTTCGTCTGGTTTCAAGCACTCGTGACAGTGCTGTTGTTGAGCTTCTAGAAATTCAAGAAGAAGAGAGAAAAGATAATACATCGTGAGTGAACTTTAATATCTGTACAGTGTAATAAAAGGTCGAGTACATTATATTAAACGATCTGGAATATTCAAGTAAGGAAGCATTTGATAACACGGCCAATTTAATGTTATGGTGGAATAGAATGCTTCTATATTTTGACATGGCCATTTTTTAGGTTCCATCTGGAAGGGTATGTTATAGCAATTTCCAATGCTAAATATTCATATGCTCGGATCATAAAGGCATGTTAAGATTAGGGATTTCAAATTTCCAAGACAGAGATATTCTTTAAACTTAATGTCATTGGTAAACAGAGGAACATGGATTAATTTTTAGCCTCAGTACTCTCCAGAAAGAGACCTGTAAGAACTCATACTCTAGCTGTGGTAAGCAAAGTGTTTTGTAACAGATGAGAATCCACAAACAACAAGTTCAGTGGCAAAAACCCTCCACATGTCCCAGTATTAGTATGTAACACATACAAGAAGAATTACAATTTGCCAAGTTGACAGAAGTTGTGTGTACACATGTTGCTTTTACAAAATATCAGTTCTGTTTTGCCTACTTCAAGCAGCAGAAAAATTAAATAGGTATTCATGCTACTCCATATGAATACATGCTAGTCAAGTTGCTGATGCAAGCCTATGGATTTCTTTCAAATCAGACTCTTGAAATATATGCTAGGTGGATTATAGAAAGCATTAGGCAGGAGGAGTATGCTTTGAACATGGCAGTTTTATCATAGAACCTTTTGCAAGGGAAACTCATTGCGGAGTTATTATAAAGATGCACAGTCATCAGATAGAGCATGACTGGATGTGTTGATATTGGCCATAAAAATGTAACAAGGCTTAAAAATAGTTTTAATATATCATACTCAGCTTTTGCATATGTATAATTATTGTAATGCTATTTAGCCAATTAAAAATGAAAGCATACACCTTTCAGTTTTTTAGTACATTTGCTTTATAATAATTTCATAAAAATTCACATTTTCCTTATTTTACATTCTAATAGTTTTGTATATTGTAACTTTTTAGGCATGTACGTGATCTGTGTATTTCATTTGTATAAATGTTTATTTTGAAATATGTCTAGGAATGGGGAATCTGATTCTGCAGTAAAGAAAGAAACAGAATCAGAACGGGAAAGTTTTGAAATTGTTCTGCAGGCCCTTCTCAGTCAAGTACTTGATTCTAACTTCATGAATGAGATCACTACAGAAAATGGTAAGTTTTTCATATAGAATTCTCCTGAAGTATACTTCTGTTTCCTCAGAATTCAGATTGTATTATGATCATAGCCAGCAAGCTAAGAAGATTTTATTTTAAATCAAAATAGATAAAAACTATACCATGTTTTAGAATAATTTTATTGCTGAGTGGCATTGCTTTTCTCAGATAACAGTCTGGCCTTCAGAATAATACAAGTTTAAATAAGAATGTATAACAGTTACATAACATACTTAAATTTACTGTTGTCCATTAGTGACAAATATTTACTCTGATAAAAGATAGCATGAAAAAACTTTATGCAAAGGATAATGGTTTTTAAAACTTTCTCAGAAAATAACTGAAAAAACTTTTTTATAAATCATTAGTATCTGATGAAAAATATGAAGGTTTTGTTTTCTTAATTGTATGAACATGGGCTCGTGTATTTTACAAGACATTGTAGACACTACAAAACCATTAAGATATACATACTATAACTCTGAAAGTACTTAATGTATCTTCACAAAATTTGGCAAACGTTTAGTAAACATTACATGCCTTTTGTACACAAAAACTCAGATTTTTCAAGTAAGTATTAGTATTATTAAAGACTT